ATTATCCGGTTTTCAATGCATTCCTATGGGAAATGGTGTTTCGCTTAGCGATGTTTTCCCATAGCAATATTTTTTGGAACCAATTAACGTCGTTAAGCGGGGCACCACTGTATTAAAAAGGAGTGGTTTTTTGGTTTAGCATTTAATAGACATTAAGAACATTTGTAAACTTTAAAAAATTATTTCCATAATAAACTACACAGAATAGAGTTGCTTAAGGGATATTTTAGGGAACTAATTTGAAGTTGACTACTTTGTTGGGAAATCTTGTATTTATGGGAATTCTGTATATCTAGATATGCAAGTAATTTTTGTGGCTTTGGCCTCTTTTTCCCTCACGGTTGCCCTCACAAGCTGAGTGTGTACTTAGAATGCACTTGATACTCATCTACAGCTAGACATTGCACAAATACATTAATAATTTTGGGCGTCTAGTCTTTCTGAACAATCTTTTTTAAGGTGCATCAAGTTGATTTTGACTTCTGGTGCTACTACCAAGATTTTCTAAGTGCAAAGTACTCAAAAGTGGTTTATCAGCCTTTTCTTCTCATGGTGCTCTGGACCTTTGCAGTTTGCCTAAGGCTGCATAGATGACAGAGCATGTAAGCCGATCAGCCACACATATTCCAGGTGAACTTGGCTAGTTCCCTTCCAAGAAATAGTGGGGATTCAATCTTCTGGTCCTGTGATCCACAGCCAGCAACTCCAACTCACTGAACTATTACCACAAAAATTTGTTTCACATTAATGTGATCTTCCCATTGAGAACCCTGCTTTAAGAACTTGCATTCTCCTGAATATACTGTGCAAACTGATGTTTGGAATGTATAAGTATTATATATATTGAAACTTAGTTGGGTTTGTGTGTTGTTTATATTAGTGAAGGTGGTTCTGAAAATTCTCAGGATGACAAACAATTCAAAGAAAAACGTGATTTTTTAATGAGTGGTTTGCCAGAGTCTTTAAAAAGGCAAATTGCAAAGAAGGCATCAGCATTGGAAGCATGTTCTGCAGCTAATTCCTGTTTTCAAACAGTAGTCCACGTGCAGCAGAAGGATGCTGGTGAGTATTGACCTGAAGTTATTAGAACTTTCATCTTTAAATGAAGTTTGCTCACTTTTTTCCCACTTCAGGAGCAAAACAAGGGCTTTGATGGTTTTAAGTTTAGAGGAATGTTACAGTAGACAACACTAAACAATATGTTTAATATTACACCTTGGCTAAGAACGATTGCTTCTTGCTTGGAAGGAACACAAAGCTTTTCTAAGGGAACAAGTCTTCTTTCATATGAAAGGCACTAGGGCCAAAGTAGACACTGGCCTAATGCTGTCAGCACAAAAACCCATTGGCAAATTGCAGCAGGTTAAGAAATTAGTATAAGCATTAGCTGCTGTGTGCTGGTTTGCATAACTTGATACACAACAGCAAATTTCTGTACTAACTTTTTAACATGTAAGAATTCACCAATGGGATTTATGCCAATCACATTACACCTGTGTAAAAATTTAGTAGGATCATTTCCTTTTTCCCTCTGCCCTTTCCTGCTCATATGTGGGGAGTCATATGCTAAAAGTTCTTTTTTAAAGCGTATTGGGTGATGGGACTAATATGTTTCCTCTTCTAGAGATAACTTCAGGAAAATCACTAACTAATCATTTAATCATTCAGGCTACATGGACACAACCTAAAAATAAAGACACCATATGTTTTAAAACAAAGATGTGGGGAGGAAAGAGTTAACAGCATAAATGGATTTGCAAATTTCTTTCTATTGGGATTAGTGATAGAAAGGTTGGTTAACATAAACCACTTCGTAAAGTGTCTCAATTCAAATCTATCTCTTGATTGCAACACATCCTTTTTGTGCAATAATTCCTCTAAAACTCTTTGTAAACTGCCTGGTTAATCACCAAAGAGATGTTTGGAAAGAACGAATAATCTCTTCTCCTTTAATTCTCTCACAATTTTTCTAAAACTCACTACTGTTGTTTCCCCCCCCCCCTTCGTTTCTAGGATGCTTGATGTGGAAGTTGATGTCACCCTCATGTTCTCTCTTGACTAATTTAAGACAAGAAAATTGTGGAATAACAGATGTTAGAAAACTCACCTTTTCACTTGGTGAATTTACAGTTTCAAAATCACAACCTTGTAGCACTGGTTCTTCAGCTGTGGTTAGTACTTTGCATTCATCCTTGCCATAGTGATTTTCAGTTCATATTGGTCTCATTTGCACATAACTGGAGAATATTGGCTTATCATTCAGAAAGAGGTGTATGCTGCCCAGTTGCTCCTGCTTGGCTTCTGTTGCATGTAGGAACTGCTCCTTGTTAAGATAGAATGCTAATTTTTCTTCTTCTTTTTCTTCTAACCAGAGAATTCTGGTTACTGAAGTTCTGGTCATAGGTACCAACCTCATTTACAAGCAATAACCCAGGATTCTCTAACATTGCTGACTTAATTATTTATTGAAAAATCAGCTAGACTATAAATGTCCTGTATCAGTCTTTACAATCAAAGTGATTTATGCCTCCTTAATTTATGTTTTTAAATTGAATGGATCCATCTGTGTATTATTTGATACCAAACTCTGTTTTCAGTCCACAAAAATACTTCTTAGGTATATAAATGCTTCCTTTTTTCTGTTTGCAGTCATCTGGATGGCAGCCAGCTTTTTCTGAAGCACAAACAAATTGTCTGTTGGAAGAGATTAAATTTTCCAATACTTGTTTTCCTGTTAAACAGTTTTTTGATCTAATAGTGAAAAAACAAGCTGCTTCCGAAAATAATAAACAAGGTTGGTAGTATATATAATAGAGATGAAGACATAAGCAGAGACACCCTGTAAATGTGTAGCAGTGCAGTCTGAAACATGCAGTTCTTTTACTCAGTAGTATCATGTAAATGGATTCCCAGTGAGATGTAGTGGATAGAGTGATGGACTAGGACTCTGGAGAACAGGGTTCAAATCCCCACTGGGCCATGGAAATTGACTGGGAAAGTGGAACTGACAGAAACACTCCTTAAATATCTCACTTGAAAGCGCTGTCAGGGTCACTATAAGTTGGTTCGGCACAGATCACAACACGTATATCACATAAATGTGCAGAGGTGTAATCCTAGGCATATCCATTTAGTATGATATGACCCCTTATACTTGATTACTTATTTTTTACTAAAATTTAATCATAAGAATCCATGTGATCGCAACCTATGGTGACTTAAAGATGACCTAAGGTGGCTTGGCTCTGTGCAGTCAATATATTTCTGGTTGTAGGTTTCCTGGTTTGTTATGTTTTTGTTTTCATTTGTTGGCCTTTGTTGTTGTTGTTGTTGTTTTTCCTGACGGCAGCTTCTTCCCTTCTGGGGCCCCTGCTCTAGAGGGATCCCTGATCTTTTGAATTACCCCTTCCGAGCACAGTGGATTGCAGGAGTGCTGCTGAAAAGTGCCCACTATGTGTGGAGAATTGCGTGCAGTTCTTTGGCTGTTGGTCCTTGTGGCTGTATCCTGTACTTCAGTATTAGTTACTGCTGGCAACAAAGGAGCACCAAAAATTGCTCAGTACTATAACATGTTGCTTATTTTGTTTTTTTCTGATTAGTAAACAAATTTGAAACAGTATGTTCTGCAACAAATATGAACATGAATAACGAGAAAGAAAACAAAAGGAAGCAAAAAGCTGAAGATCGTAAATCCAAACGAAGGAAACAAATGGAAAAAGCAGAAACTGAAGTGCCGAACAACATTTCCAAAGTTTCATCTGAAAAACAAGCTGACATAGGAAACGTAATCCATATATTAGATGCAGATGATACAGAAGAATCTAGGATTATAACAATAGAAGACACTGGAATTAATACTTTCTCTGGTAACTAGCACTCCACCCATAATGCTTTAGAAATGTTAAGTATCTTTGCGGTGGTAAGACTGTGGCTTATATTTATATAAGGGAAGAGTACCATGCTGAAATGGCTGCTTTGAATTGGTCTAGAATTATCACTCTTGTGTTAAATATGGCATTTATTATATGGATCTTAGTGAAATTACAGCATACTGAGAGTCTGTAAGTCTTCTCTATTAATTAATACAATAATTGTCTATTAATTCTTAGAAAAATATATCAGCAGAGTCCAGTTAGAGCTGAGTAGTGTTCAAAATGCAGTTAAAACACTGGCTGGCATTCAGAGATCGTGCTGAACAAGAAGTCTTATTCATATCTGCAAAAATTGAGGGAATTTCATCAGTTGACTTCCAAGATACAGTATCTTTAAAATCTGGTCTTGTAGGTCTCTTTCTGGGAACATCTTTTTGGGATGAGTTTATGAAGAGCTATAGACAAGGAGAATAGTCAGTAATAAAGACGCTGATTTTTGCTCACCAATGGGCTCTCATCCACATCAGTGATTGTAACTATATAGAGAAATTTAAATGCTTTAACTGGACAAAAATGTTTCTGTGCTCATGCCTGCAGGTTTTACAAACGAAGATGTGCTCTGGACGGAAAAATATCAGCCACAAAACTCCAGTGAACTTATAGGCAATGCTACATCAGTTAGAAAGCTACACAGGTTAGAATTAATTGCATTTTTAAAAACAAATAATTTGTTATAACAACCGGAGTGTCTCAAGATTTTCCTGATTTTCTACATTGCTGGTTTGCAAATCCTGGTTAGAACTAGTTCTGGTTAACAGAATGTGACTCTGGGTTTTTTTAGGAGTCCCACTCCCAGGATTCATTCAGAATACCCGTGGCAGAATTAAGAGCCCCAAAACAAGGAGGCTTCAGGGCAGCCCTTCCTACTTCCATTCTCTTCCCAAGCCAGAAGCAAGGAAGCTGCACTGTGAGAGTTCCAAGGCTATCTAGGACTCACAAAGGTACATGGAAAGGAAGTGCAACACTCATTAGGCTCAGTAGAGGGTGCTTCTGATGAAACTACCCCTACCATTAAACTCTGCAAATTCTAGATAGCCTTGGGACTCGCACAGTGCCTTGTTTTTCAAAGCAGAAGTGGTCTTGGAAGAGCGTGGAGGCAGGAAGGGTTGCTCTGAAACTTTGCCGTTGAGCTCTTACTTTTAAAATTCTACCTTGGTGTGTTCTGCCTGAGCTGTGGGAGTGGGACTCCTAAAAACTACAAAGTCCCATCACTCCTGGTTAATGCTAACCAGGAGGAGTGCTTGAGTAGATGACCTGTTGCCTACCCTTTAAGAACAGTCACCAATTTAACAGTATTAATCTGCATCTGCTCAGTAACTGTGATTTTGTTGGCTGCATGAGCACTTTGGGAAAGACCTAAACATTATTTTGAAAATCCCTGGTAGAATCCTGTTCACATACGCCCCCAACTTTATGTGATTTACTAAATGTTCTCCTTCTGGTAAGTCTCTCTTTTGCACAGCTGGTCATGTACTCTTTGTGAAATTGGGGCATGCAGCCAGTTGCACAACCAGTCATGTGTAGAAGAGGTAGTTGGTGGGGAAATGTGTTATTGCCCTTCTGCACATAGCTGTTTTATAGGATTTTGGCCCTCAAGTTTAAGAAACACTTGACTTGAGGTCTTTACCAGAGATAGTTTTCTTTCTTTCATGTCTACTATCTTCTTCAGCCCATCTCTGGTGTTCAGATGGAAAGACCGCAATTTAGATTACATTCTTCTATAAACCTTTATTATGTAGATACACACAGAGGACACACACGTAAACATGCACCAAAACAGTCTGATGTCTTTATTTTTAGGTGGCTTTGTGAATGGAAGAAAAGAGCTGACTGGGAAACAAACAAAAGCCAAAAAGAAGAAAAGAGTGACAGTCAGCAAGGTACTTTGAAATCTATCTTCAGTGTGTAAATAACCAATAACCAATAACCATCCCAGTAATAGGATTATCAAATTTGCAGACGATACTACACTAGTAGGACTTATCTCTGGGGATGATGAGTCTGCGTATCGGGACGAGGTATTACAGCTATCCCGCTGGTGCAAAAAAAACAATCTTTTATTTAACATCCAAAAAACCAAGGAATTCATAGTGGACTATAGGAAAAAAAGAGCAGACATTCTTATGTCTTATGTCTTATGTCTTAAAATAATTGGCTAAAATAATATGAAATGATTATGAGTTTAACAGGAGCTCTTGAGAGCACAATCACAGCTCACAAGGGGATTATAGATTTTAAAGTAAGATTGTTCTGAATTTTATTTCATCAGTGTTGTTTGTTTTGATTTAGATTCCTCCATTGAGCATGGGGTTGGACTTGATGGACTGAAAGGCTCCTTCTGACTCCATTATTCTATTATTTCTTTATTATTTATAAGCCAATTTAAGTTGATTTTGTAGCAGAAGGGAAGGCTAAGATAGAGAGTAAAACCAACTCTACCTCGTTTGTAAGAACTATTCTGGTTTTCCATAGTCCTGGTATTTACTTTGATCTGACTTTGTAGAATCCTCAGACAGCTTGGATTTTAAAGATGGTGAATCAGACAGTGAAGAGGAGAATGTTCTGTGCAACACTATGCTGCTCGTTGGCCCTCCAGGCACAGGGAAGACTGCAGCAGTTTATGCTTGTGCACAGGAGCTTGGCTTCAAGGTTGGTCCTACGTTGCTGCTCTAATACGTTTGGAATTTTAAATAATTTTCTTATTAACAAAATAATTCTTATGACATTCTTATAGATATTTGAAGTTAATGCTTCTTGCCAGCGCAATGGAAGGCAAATTCTTTCTCAGCTAAAGGAAGCTACTCAATCTCATCAAGTGGACAAACAAGGTGTGAACGCTCATAAGCCATGCTTCTTTAACAGTTACAGTAGCAATAAGTCACCGAGTAAGTAAAGTGCTTCCTCGTTTTATCTGTAGAGCAGTAAAAAGCAATTTCATTATTGATGACAATAAATAAAAAGTAAAAGAGCTGTGGACTCCACAGAAAAGGGATACAGACTATAATTATGGTTGCCACATATAGTGGTAGTACAAAAACATCCTCCCTCTTCATTCTTATTTCACATCCTCTGTCCCAAGCCATTCCTGGTAGGAGGCAAGCAATGGGCAGTGCTGGAAGAAACAGTCCTGCCTGTAACAAGGTGAAGCTGCTTGATTACCATATTACAGCTCATTTTTGCCTGCACATACTTTGTCTGTAGTAGAGGTGTTACTGCTGACAGATACCCCAGAGTGTTACTTCCAACACCACTTGGCAACATAGGTACTTGGAAAGTATGTACTCCTTGGATGTGAAGAGATAGCAGTGCACCTGACTGTGCCAGATAAGGGACACAGAACTTGTTTTCTTAATGTACTAGCACTATTTCATAACGTCCTGTTGCAGACTCAGACAGCATGTCTGATTGCTACAAAACCTCAGAATAAAACATGCCATGCACATGGTTAGTTGGAAATTAAGTGGCCATAATTGGCAGAGCATACGTCCTGGATCCAGGCATTCACTGGCCCAAATGTGCACCAATGACCCAACACCCAGCCTGGCTACTAAGAGAAACCTGCTGTGATGACAGGACCCTGAGCAGCACTAGGGGGCCTGGCCACTCAGTAGATTGCCTGCCACATATAGTGAAGGCAAGCCTGGCCAGCCTCCAAGCCCATTAGCTACTATATGTCTCCCCCACAGATCCTGCAAGTGAATCAACACCTGAGGATAAGGACAAGCTGGCCTCATTCCCCATAACTGGATATGGCCAAATGCTAACAGACTGCTCCCTCTAGTGAAGTTGTGACATAGTTGATTAAATGTAACAACAGAGATCCCACAGTGTGGTATGTCCCTTTCCTAGTCCACAGAAATGGCAAATTGGATGCCAGCATTTGAGCTAGATACTAGAGGGAAGGATAGATAGGAAAACGTTCGGCTCCAGCCGAGCCCTGCAGTGCAGCTGGATTGCTTAGATATCCTAAAGACTGGGTTGAAGTAGAAACCATGTTATTCTGGTCAGCCCCTGGAAGTTTCACCCAAGGGGCTCCAGAATTCAAAATACATCAGCTGACCAAGTGCACCATTTAATTACAGGGCTGGGTAACTCCCACTGCTACTGTTGCAATCACCTTCCTCCTTGTATATGGCTAGCAGAATGCAAACAGGACATCAAGTGAGCAAGTGGAGCCTTTTAAGAATGTCTAGTGTGTGCATATTGAGAGAGTTTAGATACACGTTCAGAACTTACAGCAATATTCTGGGAACAAAAAAACACCCATACACTGGCTTCCCCAGTGGCTCTCGAAGGCTTTCTTAAGCCAGCCTCAAGACTACTCTGTACCCATTCCAGCCATTTCTAAGGCTAATTATGGCTGAGAGTTTAGAGCCTAGTTTCTTGGAAACTGTCCAAACTCATGTTATGAAAGAGCAAAACAAAAGCTTTTCCTTTAAGTTTAGAACTAAAATAATATTTATATTTCAGGAAAGAAGTCTCCTAGGAAAGAGTGGTCTCCAAGAAAACATCCAGTTTCACCCAGAAAAGTTGGATTAGAACAAGCTTTGGCACCCAGAACACTAGCAAACTATTTCAAAATTTCTTCCAAGCCTAAGAAGAAAGAAGACAAAGTACAAGGAAACAACAGAGGTTGGCTTTAATGCCAGATTATGTGTTTGTTCATTAGAGATGGATGACATACACATGCAGAAATGAAGTTTAGAGAGTGAGGCACAAAAAGTGATGAATCACTTGCTGCCATTGGGGTACAGTTCTTTTACCATGTATGATCCTGCTTGGCCAAACCTGATCCTCTTGGTTTTCTCAACATAACAGATACAAATCACCAGTAGGATACTGATATTTGTGTTTGAAGTGGGCATAGAAAAAATGAATTTTGAGAATATTTTATAGCTTACTCTAAAAGAGATCCTTTTTGTTACTAATGTACTATATTTCTTGTCCATGCAGAAAACAAGGAATGTTTTTCTGGAGAAAACGTACAGATGAAATCAACAAACGGGGAAACCGAAGAAGAGTCAAGTAAAAAGTGTGCAACTTCCCTCATCCTCTTTGAAGAGGTAAGGCATAATTATACAATCTATTCTTTAGAAGAAAGACTTTTGTTCCATCTAGTTTAAATCAAGAAGACTGGATTTGTCTCCTAAACCAACTTGCAATACAGTTTTACTAAACTGTGTTTTTTTTCTGCCAGTCCAGCTTTGCAGCAGTGCTGAGTGTATACATACATTTTTAACATTCTGTCCTTTTACCACCATTCCTTCAAAAAAAAAAGCATTGCAACTTAACATTTCATACTTCCCATAGGTTGACATAATTTTTGATGAAGATGTTGGATTTCTGAGTGCAATAAAGACATTCATGACTACCACCAAGAGACCTGTCATTCTTACTACCAATGGTGAGCATTAATAATTTTTTTGAAAAATCTTTGAATATCTTCTTGAAAACTACATTGAACCTCTGAATAAAAATTGTTTGGAGATTTAAGAGAACAGTATGAAATATCTTATAATCAAGAGGATTTTCTGTGAAATGTACTACTTAGCCTAACTAAATTTCAGTTACATATTTAGAAATTATCCTTATTTGTGTAGTATTCACTATATGTTATAACAGAATTAAATAAATAAATAAATATTTAATTCTGTTATAACATATGGTGGAATACTACACAAATAAGGAGAATTTATAATTTCACTAGGCATTGTAGTATATCCATCAATATATTATTATAAACATATAAACATAAATGTATTTGTAAATCCATAGGTAACTAAACCAGCCAATTCTTGCTCAATTTCATAATTACATCCTGAAATGAATATTTTCTTTGAAATGTTCTTAAAATCTTGAAATATGTTCCAAAACAAATAATTTTCAACATCCCATAATTCCTTATATTATTCATTTCTCTCCCCTTCTCAGAATTGCACCAACTATATATTTCACCATGTATGGTATGTTCCAAACAGATGGCTGATGTAGCCAATCAATCATCTGTCCTGAGCGGGGGCAGGGGGGGCACAGAAGGAGCCTTCCTGAAGAACATGAGCACATCCAAGTATCCCCCGGGCAATAAGAGTACCTTCTTGGCCAATCCTTCCCCTCTGGAAACACTGTGGGGTTGCTTTGGACACAAACGAAGAAGGAAAGGGGATTTGTGCTTTCACCACTCTTGACAGCCCACTCTTTTTGGTTATGGTCAAATTAACACCAGTTCTCATTTCCTTTAGGTATTAAAATTTCAGCATAACCAAGAAATTACCTTAATGATATTAATGGTTGAATAGTTATTTCTACATACTCACCACAAAGGCAGTGTTGTAATTTTACCACCAGCATTTTGGTTTCTCTACTTTTATGAGAGTTAAAATAGTTAATTCTCTGCCACCAAATTTTAAAAAACGTAACTGTGATATTTTTTCATTTAGATCCTTCATTTAGTTCAGTATTTGATGGATGCTTTGAGGAAATAATCTTCAGTGCACCGTCTTTGGTAAGTCTTCCCATTTTGAATATTAGTTTCTCAATATGACAAAGCCATATCAGATTAAGGCAATAGAATCTGACAGAATCAGGCTAATTAATTATCCACATTTTGTCAACACAACTTCAAAGCTGTTGAAAACAATGGGTTTAAGCATCCTAAATCTGCTTTTGATTTTGGCCCAATGCCAAATTTAATTTGTAGATCCAGGATGTTTATACATAAATAGAGCCATTACATATAGAAACAGTCTTGCTTCATTATTGTGCAATAAACTGCTGGTTTGTATAAACCAGTCTAAATTTACACTACCTATTAATCTTGAATTTATAGTTTGCCTGATGGGTAACTGCAAAGAGTATTAGTATACAACCCAGTCACTGATAATTTTGACAACTCAAATCCAAGGGAAGAGCTTATTCCTCTATACAATGTCAGTGTGAATACTATTAATTCTTGAATCTTTTTAAATTTTAGATAAATGTTGCTACTTACCTCCAAGTTCTCTGCTTGGCTGAAAATTTAAGAACAGATATGAGAGATGTTGCTGCTTTGTTGACTGCAAACAAGTGTGACATCAGACAGAGTATTCTACACTTACAGTTCTGGGTGAGGAGTGGCGGTGGCTACTTGAAAGAAAAAGGTACAGCTCAGTATAGTACATATGGTCTAAGCAGAATAAGAATCATTTTTTATTCAAGTGCCATATTACTGTTTCAGAAAATTAGTTATTACTTTGAATGTAAAGTTCCAGTTCATAATGTTACCATTTTATTTGTGCTGTGTTGGAAATTTAAGATTTAGTGGCCAAAATCCTGTTGGGCTTTTACACCTGCATAAGTATACAGTAATTGTATATATTACAATGAGCTAATTAATGAGTTGTTGCTTGCATTTCTGCTTGCATGCTAGGAAATGCATATGGCAACTCATTAATTGGCAGGAATTTACTATCATGATTTATGCAATTACAGTTGTATCTGGCTTGTTACACTTACTTAAAGATCAAGTAACTGCAGAGGCGGGGAGAAGTGGAGCTAGAGAACTGAATAAAACTTGCAGAAACATCGAGATATGGGGTTAAATGGTACTGCTGACAAGTGGGGTATATTATGTATTTAATTAATTAATTAATTAATTTATATGCCACCCACACTACCCAGAGGTCTCTGGGCGGCTTACAACAATTAAAATTCAATACAGTAAAAGATAAAATGATTAAAATACAATTAAAATTGCCATCGGACCCACAGCTACTGTAAGATCAAGTAACTGCAGAGGCGGGGAGAAGTAGAGCTAGAGAACTGAGTAAAACTTGCAGAAACATCTGAGATATGGGGTTAAATGGTACTGCTGGCAAGTGGGGTATAATAGGGTACTGGAAATTTGTAGCACTCTTCACACCTCTTGGGCAGATGAACAGGAAGGTTTTGACCTGGCGCCGAAAATAGGGTACTGGAAACTTGTAGCGCTCTTTAGACCTCTTGGGCAGATCAATTTCTGGTGTTGTATACAAGGATATAGGATATAGGACATCCCCTATGTCGAGGGGTGTTGCACTTTATAACACCAAGGAACTTGTCAGTTACAGACATTTTAAACTTTTAGAGGTCTGAGAAGATAAATATTCTCTTTTCCTCTGCTTTCCATTTGACTGACTGAATATTCTGTGTGCCATACTGCTTTCTGTGAAAAAACCTCAGTCTTATTACTCATGTGTGCCCCGTTCAAGCAATATTGTATGACCCCAGTTAGGGTTTGAAGCATGGTAGTGATATGGGGGCACATGTAAGACTTGCTGTCCATGTCCTTTTCCCACCCAGACAACAGATAAGCCTTCATGTACTCACAGTCAAGGTGTGCAATGACACTTGTAAGCACTTTCTAACATTTCAGTGAGTAAGAGCCTTGTAAAAACAGTCATAGAAATGCAGCACGGTGAACACCTTCACTGATCTTCACTGTGAACACAGAAAGGTCTACCTGTCTTCCGGATGGGTTGGGGGCATGAGAATAAGGCTTGTGTGTGCACACGCGCCACTTTCCCCACTACGCTTCGAGTTATACTCAAATTCAGCCTCTAGCACCTGATTACAACTATTTTCTGCCTGAGTTCAAGTGTATGTCTTGAGTCATTGGTCTTACATTCTGCTGGGGTCCCCTTCCATCCAGTATATGTCCCCCAAAGGGTTTTTTGGCACTTTTTTCTTTGTTTCAGAAACTGGAAAGTATTTCCGCATGCCTAAGAAAAGTCCCCTGAGGTCATAGAGGCCTTTTAGGAGGGGACAGGATGGTTGTGTTTGATTTCCAAGCTGATGTTTTCAGCTGTCTTCATGTGCTATTAGAAATGCTGTCATTATGTGACTATTGGAAGCTGCTGAGGCATCCCCTCAACATTTAAACTTATGTTAATTTTAGTTCAGTATTATTTCTACTTGCTTAATATTTTTTGCACCCTTATCCTATTGTTTAAGTGAAAAGGCTCCCAGGGCAGCCTGCAAATATAAATAGTACACCAGTCTCTGTTGTCAGGCTTGTGACTCAAAAGACAGTACTCAGAAGGGAAAAAGCAAGATCAGTTATCAGATATTTAAGTTATTGTTCCTGTCAGCCATTAATCCTTTGAGTTTGCACTTAGAAGGAATTATGATGATTGTAGACAAAGAAAACTTAGAATAGTCAGGCAAATAATAGAATCAAGTTGCAACAAAGAAAACATAGACAACTACAAGCTAATAATTAACTGCATAAAGATTGCCAAAAACACATTTAGTAAAATAAGTATTTAAAGGTCTAGGAAACTTGTTTGGGAAAATACAGTAGAAAGAATGTTAAACAGCTATCGTATGTTACTTTATGAACTCAATTTGAGACTCTTGTGTATAGGACTAGGCAAAAAGACAAGTGATACAGGACTGATTACTAGCACTGAAGAACCAACCAGCTCCAATACCAGTAAATCAAATCCTGTTGTGAATATTCCGAAATGCTCTATTGGCTGCATTGAGAACTCACTTGGCCTTACCAACATCATTTTGCCTTCAGAGGATCTATTTTCATTTTTTAAGGTATGTTTACATAGATGTAAGGTACTTACGTAAAATGAAACATAGGATTTATTAAAAAATGAGGTGTGCCACAAAATTTTTGAAAGCTCAAGTCCACGCCATTCCCCCTTCCCCCAGAATTGTTCATTTTCTCCCACAGCTGTCAATTAATTAATCTATTACCACTGGGTATCCTGAGTATTCACTGAATTATTCTGTAAGTTCTTCTCCCTTAGGACTTTTTCTTATTGTTTTTTTAATGCTAGCCTTGGCATTCCCCCACACCCGCTGATATCTCTTGTATTTGGTTGTAATTGCTTTGACTTCATGTACAACAACATGCTTGAGGGACGTGGTGGCGCTGCGGGCTAAACCGCAGAAGCCTGTGCTGCAGGGTCAGAAGACCAGCAGTTGTAAGATCGAATCCATGCGATGGAGTGAGCTCCCGTCGCTTGTCCCAGCTCCCGCCAACCTAGCGGTTCAAAAGCATGCAAATGTGAGTAGATAAATAGGGACCACCTCGGTGGGAAGGTAACAGCGTTCTGTGTCTAAGTCGCACTAGCCATGTGACCACGGAAGATTGTCTTCGGACAAAACGCTAGCTCTGTGGCTTGGAAACGGGGATGAGCACCGCCCCCTAGAGTCGAACACAACTGGACAAAAATTGTCAAGGGGAACCTTTACCTTTACAACAACATGCTAAGTCTGTACAGAGGAAACAAGGGCCTGCAACAAAATATTGAAGTGTGAAGTGCTGTTCGTCAGGATTCCAGCCACGTTTTCATTCTCCCTCCTGCCCTCTAAATTATTCCCTAACTAACATCATTACTCCCTAAATAACAGCAGTATAGGCCCATTTAGCATAAACAGGCATAAACTAATTATATTCAGTCTTTATCAAACATACTGGGGGTGCAGGAGTCATGGATGCTTCAGTTAAAATCCTGGATTTAGTTCTCTGATCAGTTCTCATGTCTGTCATTGTGGATGGTTTTCAGTTTCTCAGAAAATAAACAGTTTTTCTACTTTTTAATATTTATCACTCTCTCCCTGTGGCCGTTTTTTCTAGCCTCTCTCTCCCCTTTGTCCAAATAACTATTTCTTTGTGGCCTCTGTGAATCATGCTGTGGGTGAACTGCTCATGCGCAGGGCCTGATTTGAACATTCTCTAGAGCTTGTGCAATTGAAAAAAAAGACATTTTAGTATAGGTACTACCCCACCCACTACATGTACCATGGCGTCAAGGCTCTCCCCTCAGTTTTTTTTTCAACTGCTGCGTTGAGAACCTCGTTCATTCTTCCTATACAGCTTCTGTGAGTTTATTACCTACAAAAAGAAAAAGAAAAAAACAAGAACAAATCTTACTGTGTTTTTACTACCATTAATCTTCTTTTCCCTATTTATTTTCTACCTGGCTTTGGCCTTTCGGCTGAGGCCTCCCAACCCCCCCCCCCCCGTTCCTACTGTTTGTGGCCTCTTCAGGCCCATTTAAACATTGTGTTGATTGCAAAAACAAAATCTCCCTCTCCAATGGCCACACAATGCTTATTCTGCCTAAGAGAGACCCACCAGACTTCCACTTGTTCCCACTGCAAAAATTTCAGGCGTGGGGTTCTTTGTAGTTTTTCTAGACTTAAACTTTGACTTTGGGAAGAATCTTTCCAGCTGGGAAGACCAATGGCACAACCACTCTGTAAATTGCTTCCCCAGGCAAGGGTTATGGACAAGGCCATTTCGGAGACAGCAAAGCAGCGTCCATCAGCCACTCCTTCCCACGTCAACAAACAAGGAGCTCCGTCAACAGTGATCCCAGCTCCGGGCCTCCCAAAGTCAAACCTTAGACTTCAGCATCGATCGCCTCAAACCTGAAGCCATCAAAGACCAAACAAAGTGTCTACCAAACAGTCCTCTGCTACAGAGCCTTTCCTGCCTAAGAAAGCCAAGTCTTCAAAGGCGAAACTCTCCAAGGCTATCTCGACACACTCCACAGCCACCCACCGAGTCGGAAGACCGGATTTATGTTCAATATCTTTCTGATGATGACACTCTTGCAGCCCATTAGCCATCTCCCCATCCCTCCCAGTCCCTGCATGGGCCGGCTGTCTGCCTCGCTAAACAGTCCTCCACCACTATCTTGATCCCTGAGTAGATCCTCTGATGTAGGCTCAGGCTCTTCAGACTCTGCTGCACCACTCGGGGCCCTACCTTGCCCTGCCCCAGGCCTCCAGCACAAAGGCACTAACCTTATCAGATCCCCCGCTTGTCCTCTTGCATGGGCGCTGGTTGCCATCGGTTCTCAGCACCATCCCTGGGAGCCATTTTGCCCCAAGCAGTGCTACACCGAAGCACCTACCTGCTGCTATCAGATGGCTATATTCCCCGTCATGTCATCACCATTCGAACACTCGGTCCTCCAAGGGGAACCATCAGTGTCAAAATAGAGCTACCATCATCTCACTTGTCCACCTGTGCCCAACATGGTACAGGATCCAGTGGGTCCTGAAAGATGCCTCAGTCCCAACACTTTTCAGTGTCAACAGCATTTTCCCTCGCAAGCAGAGGATGTGGAGCACTTGTTGCCATTGGCCTTGCCAGTGGCAGTCCACTCCTCAGTGCTTCAGTGTGGGCCATCAACACCTTCACTGGCCCAAGAGTCACACTGACACTGACAGCCTCTTGCATCTTACCTCTATTGAGCTCCATCTTGACAGTACTTTCACGCCAGCCCAGTCAACATCAATGATCCTTGGCATCAGTCTCCAAACACCGTGCAGCCTCTCTTGGTGTCACGAACTCAACATTGATAATGGTTACATGTTCAGCATCAGATGGAGCCACTGTATTAACTCCAATGTTGACCAACAGTTGGTAGATTGACTTCCTGCAATTAATCCGTTCCGGCCAAAGAAAAAAAATCTCTCTCACACACAAAAAAAACCCACTGCAAGACCCATCGGAAATGAGATTAATTCGTTCTGGCTGAAGGGGAAAAGAAAAGCAAACAAACCGTGCAAGACCCTTCAGAAATGAAAAAACCCAAACAAAGCAGAAAGAAAACAAACCGTGCAAGACCCTTCGGAAATGCAAAAAAAATAAATTAAAAAAAATGCAAACACCACAAGACCCATCGGAAATGGGGGGGGGGAACCAAAAAGCAAACAAACCCTGCAAGACCCATCAGAAATGGGAATAAACAAAAACAAAAAACATACAAACCCTGCAAGACCCATCACTGCACAGAAACATAATCTCACCACCCAGCCCAAAACCACGCTGCAAAACCCACCCAGAACAGTTTTTTAAAAGCAGAAAGCAGCACCTTACCTTACCAGGCAGTCCGAAGCCGCCTCCGATTGCACCCTCTAACTGCTGGGGTGAAAGAACTACAGAGAAGCAGTCTCTTTGCCACCAAAGGTTAGCAGTTTGAATTCTCCGCCTTTTTTGATCGTAACTTGAAGCTCCAGCTGCAGATCAAAGCAAAATTTTGCGGCCGGAGCTGGTCGCAACTCGAAATGGTCGTAAGTTGGGACGTTCGTAAGTCGAGGCACCACTGTACTCCGACACCTCAGGCGAGCACCCTTTAAGCCCCTGGTTTCTACAGATATACACCTTCTAATATTTACGACTGTATTCCTGGTGGCAGTTATCTACACGTGACAAGCTAGTGAGCTAGCAGATCTCCGCTCTAATTATCCCTACCTTCAGTTCCACCTGGAGAAGGTTTGTCTCTTCATGGACATCTTCCTCCTGAAAATGGCCTCCCAGTTCCACCTTTTCCAGCTGACCATCCTTCCACCATTCTTCCCATCTCCTTCCACTCCTCAGGAGCATATCCTTCATATTCTGGATATCAGACATACCTTGACCTTTTATATGGTTCACACACAGCCCTTTCGCTGCTCTACTTGACTGTTTATCATCTATCAGTCCCCCTCAAAGGGTCTTCAAGCCACCTTCCAACGTATCTCTGAATGGGTTGCCTCTACTCTCCAACTGGCTTACCAATTGGCTTGCACTCCAGTACCAGCACCTCTGGTCTCATTCTATCAGGGCCTTGGCAGCTTCCATAGTGTTCCTTGGGGAAATGTCTCCAGGATACCTCCGCACTGGCTATCTGGTTACAGTCATCTACATTTATCAACTACTTTATCACTACTGGCTGGATGTCAGGCAGTAGTCCGATGCCTCTTTTGGATGAACAATGCTGCCTTGGCATGACACCCTCCTTCCAGGTAAGGCAGCTTGCTAGTCGCCCAGAGTGGGATTCACAGAGGCCATGAAGAAGAAGGACAGATTACCTACCTGTAACAGTAGTTCTTTGAGTGGTCCTTCTGTGAAGCCACATGTCCCACCCATCTTCCCCCCTTTGTCACACAGTCACTTGCTTTGGTGGTTGACTTTAACTGAGGGGAGAGCCTTGGCGCAAGGGTACATATTGGGGGGGGGCTATACTAATGTGTTTTTTTCTGATCACAGAAGCTCTAGAACGTTCTGATCAGGCTCTGCGCCTGTGCTGGTCACCCAGAGTGTGACTTTACAGAGGACCACTTGAAGAACTACCATTACAGTAGGTAACCTCTCTATCCTTTCTTTACCTCTATCTCAATAGTTACCAAATAGTTTTTCCCTAGTCATTTGTCAGGGTTATTTCCCCAAAATTGGGAAAAGGTATGTGTGTGTGGGAGGGGGTGTATTTAAAGAAATCTCTGGGTGTAGAACCTTGAAGCATTCTTTTTTTCCCCATGTACTACTCTGTTCTCTTGAATGCTCCATTTTTCACAGAATAAAATCACAACAAAAGAAGAATGGAATAAGCTGATATGTCTGCTCACAGAATTCCAGCGGAAGGATATAGACTTTATTTATAATAATCTTGAAATCCTTTTACCTTTACCAATTAATATACTTCCAGAATCAATCGATACAGCTCATCTTACACATAACAAGCTTACAAAAATCTCTTCAAATAATGAACCTGTTGCCAGTGATTGCTTGGAGGCAGCTAGCCCTATGAAAAAGTGTAAGCAGTCAAAGCGCTGGAGAAAAATAACTATACTGGATGACAGTGATTTATTTGAGAGTGAATTGAACTATTCCGGATTCATTACTCTGCCATCTGAGAAACCTAGCACATGCTTGGAAGAAAAAAACGATAGTTTTGAATCTGCTACTGCAGTGACACAAAGTGGTGGAATTTCAGCACAAGCTTCTCTTCCCATATTCCAATGCTTATATTCATTAGCTGAATTTGTGGACAACACATCTTTCTCAGATTGCTGCTTCAGCAAGAGGACTCGTGAGTCTTGTAAATATGATGAATTCATTTGGACAAAAGGGAAGGTAAAAAATGGGCTCTCTGATGAGTTTAGTGTGGAGCAGACTGATTGGTGGATTTCTCAAAGTTCTGTTGAACTGAAAGCAAACCTGGAGGTACTCAATTTTAATAAATGCTTCAAGACTATTTCAGAAATCATGGAAAACTCATTTAACACTGATAGAACGCCTGGGAAGGATGGACTTGCAAATGTTACCCTGCATGTTTCAGAAGACCGAGCCCATTTGTACTTTGGCCAGTTGCCAGCTAATTTCAGGTAAAGTCCAAATTTTTACGGGGTGTACTGCAGGAAAAGGAGACAGGGTTTTAAGCAGAAGCAGCAGAGAGAACAAGTTCTTCCTTTTCTAATTTAATGCTGGAAGCATTGCTTTATGTGTACTCCAGACGTAACCTTAAGAATTTGAAACAAACATTGGGAAGCTTGTTTGTATAAGAAACTCCATGTATGCTTCAAATAGCCATGACAGTTAGGCTTAAGCACATAGTTATTGAATGACTGCAAGGTTTAATTATTTAAAATGTATTAATAGACACTGTCATTATCATTACTGTACAGCCTATGGTTCTCAAGTCTCATTTTTGACAGATTTTGCTTTCCAGCCTCTCTGTTTCCTTTGTCAAAAGAAAACAGATGGTGGTGGAAGACTTATCTCTCAGAGATCAGAATCTGTCAGCTGTGAAGTAGTAGCAAGAGAGTGATTTACTCTTCTGCCAGCATGTTACCTGCTCACCACAGTATGCTTCACTTTGCATCACCTTTGTCCTAGCTGTCTTAATTCAGAGCTAGAAAAAAGGTTCCACAAGAGTGGGACTAGACGAGAAAGAGACAGATGACTGGACTTAACTTATCCCTGCTTTTTGTTAGAGTTTTAGATCCCACATTGCCTCCAAATACATCAGGGCTGCATAAATCTCTCACCCCCCTGCATGCACCTCCCCCCCCCCGCATGGCCTGCCCACCTCCATGCATGGGTACTGGCCCATTCGCACATGTGTGCATGGGTAACCTGCCCACCCATGAGGAAGCATGGCCCACCTACCTGCCAGTTCGCCCTGCCCACCTGTGCATGTGAGTCACTAACCCATGAGCACCCCCGCACATACATGCAAGAGTGCCCTGCCCAACCACCCGCAAGTACGGGAGTGCCCCCTCACCGGTCCGCGGTTTGGAAATGGTTGGGGACCACTGTGGTACAGGACATGGGATTCTGTATTAAGTAGGGGAAATCAATCAACACTGCTCTGCTCCAACGAGGGGATCAGAGTTCCTTTTATGAAAAAGATCTTGTGTGTAATAAAATGCTTAAATCCTCCTTATAGTGGATTTAATAAGAATATAACTTCTAGCACATCTTGCTTTTTGCTTTAGCGTTGGGTTAGATGCTACTTCAGCAAAGGGTTAAAACGGAGTATACATTGTTTAGGCACGTGTAATAAAATCTAATATTCAGTGATTCTTGTTAAACTAGCTAGGATAGAAAACTATGCTTTTCTTTTACAGCATTCATCATAATGCACAGAAGAGGATGGAATTAATCGAAGCTATATTTTCGAGTAGAATTCATCTAAACCTTAGTAATAGACAAGCAAGTGTAATTGAATATTTGCCTATTCTCCGCAACATCTGTAAGTCAGAGAAAAAGAAAGAGCAAGGAAAAACAAAAAGAAGGTAAATTGCATTAAGTTTATTAATTGTTAATAAACAATTATTAAATGTTAAACAATTATAGCCGCCTAGAGTGGTCCTGAGGGACTAGATAGGCGGGATATAAAATAAATAAATAAATAAATTGTGCCACTCTGTTCGTATCTCAAGATGCAGATCTTGTTCACCGAAATCCTGTTGCTTTATTATGCACACAGAAGGCAAAAGGCATAACATTCAGTTGTTCCTAGCAGGTGCACATGCCCAAGAATCCAAGTGGTGACTTGTTGACTAAAAACAATTGAATGTGTACCTTTTTCTTGTATTAAATGTATTAAATATCCCAGTGGGAATCAGCTTAATAAATTTCTTCCTATTATACTGTATCTGAAAACTGTCATACTTTTTAACATTTTCTTTTAAGACACTGTCTCAGTTTGTCATCTTTTTTCAAACAGGTTTCTACACTACCTTGAAGGAATTCACCTTCCCAAAGAAATTCTGAACGATCTAGCAACTGACTTTCCTTAAAATGGCTGCCAATAGTGACTCTGTACATAAAAAAACATAAATGTATATTCAAAATATTTTTATATTTTGAAATTTTAAGTATTTAAAAATATGTATTGTATATTTCTGTATCCAAGTTGTTTCCACACTGTAAATGTGGACTTCATCAGTGTTCATACCTGTACCAGATTAGTTCAAACACAACCTAATATTCGAAGCATATCAAGCCTGTTGATTTTGACCTTTTGGGAACTGATTTCAGTTATCAAAATATATCCACCAATAAATTCTTTTAATATCCAGTGTTTGAAATACAGTTTTAATTTTCACCTTTAATGTGGTGCTTTCTACCAAAAGGCTAGTCAAGACAGCTTAAATGATAACAGCAGTTTAAATATAAACTATTTTTGAGTTTTGTTTGTATTGTTTTTATATCAACAATTATTTTGGGTTGTGTAGGAATATTTATATCTTCTGTACATTTTTAAATAGTATATACTTTATGGTGAATTTCTTTTGGTTACCTGCAGTGAAATAAATATCTGGATGGGACTTTCTAGCTTCTTGCCAATATATTTTCTTGCATTTTTGGCAACCACCTATGTAAATATATTTTTGGCAACCACCAATGTAAATGGCTCCTATCTGAAAGGGATCTATTCTTTTTTTTTAACTCTAGTACTAAAACAAAATTACTTGCCATGGAAGAAATAAAGGCAATTAATATCCTTTACAATCGTTCAAGACTACTGCACATGCTACCTGTTTTGGGGGGGGGGAGAAGTAGGTGGAAGCAGTAACTCTTTGGAAGGACTCTAGATATCTTTGAAGCAGCAACACATGTAGAAGCACTTAAAACATTCTGAAATAGGCTCCCATTTGGAGCAGCATAAGTTTCAAATATTTAACATCCCTTATCTCAATGTTACTTGGTAAAGCAAATGGTCCCAGAAGAAATTATCATAGTCACTACAATATGTAAATTTTCTGATTTTTGTCATCTGCACTTATACAGGTAAAACATTTAGAAAGAAAATTCTGACAAGTTTTGACATTGGAAGCATATCTACACATTTTATAGGTTTAATATTTCAACTGAAACAATGCTACTAGGCATGTTTCCACAAAGTGCCTGGCATCCCAGTTCTAAATACATTTATACAACAAATAATCAGAATTTTCAGCCAAGTGAAGTAGTTACAGTATGTCGTTATAATACAATAAAATCCCAGAAAAATCAGTTTCAATAGAAAATATTACTTTTTTTAACACATGTGCAGCACTGCAATGGGGTTTTAATAGCATGATTTATTTTATATTCAGTGTGCGATTTCACAATTCTCTTTTAAAAGCACTTTTTATCCTGCCAGTGTAACTGTGGCTCTATCTATGCAACAATGTCTGTGTTTTAAAGACAGTCACAAAAGTGGTACTTGTGTATGTATGTTGACTCCCATGGAAATGTATTGCAGAGTCCAGAAATGTCATACACAGCAATGAATTTAAATCAAATCCAGTAAGAATTAAGTCGTATCTTGCCTTAGAAATTCACAAAAAGCTATTGCTTGTAGCAATGAGTCGCATAGCTCCTCATCCCTCTTTTGTTTGACTAATAGTGCATTTCTATAGCAAAGTATCTGGTGGTTGGGAAAGTTCACACGGGCCTCAGCTTGTGTTAGCGATTCCAAGAGAAATTTTTTTACAAGGTCTATTCCACTAGCTCTGGCGCCCCCCACCATTAGTCCAAAATATTTTCCTACAGCATTTCGGGGCATACTCAGTACTTTTTGCTCACCATTCTGTGCAAATGTTTTATGTAACAATGCATACAACATAGCTTCTACTGTACGCTGATGTAGTGACACTGGAAACAAGCCTGGATTGTGATTAGAAAATCCAGTTTTTTCTAAAACGTAAAAATCTGCTTCTGGAAACTTTGATACGACAGAAGAAATCTGAAATTAAGAAATATTTAATAAATATCATCATCTCAAAAGAAACATAATAGTCAAAATTACCGTGTTTCCCCAAAAATAAGACAGGGTCTTATATTAATTTTTGCTCCAAAAAACACATTAGGGCTTATTTTCAGGGGATGTTTTACTTTTTTCATGTACAACAATATACATTTATTGAAATACAGTCATGTTATCTTCTGGTTGCTGCACAATGGTGGAGTTTCACTTAACTAGGGCTTATTTTGGGGGGTAGGGCTTATATTACGAGTATCCTGAAAAATCATACTAGGACTTATTTTCAGGTTAGGTCTTATTTTTAGGGAAACTGTATGTAACATAGTGTCATAAATTACTCAAGTGTATGCCCATTGATTCAATGAGTTGTCCATACGTTTCATTTATTCAAATAGGCCTAATTGAGATGTTAGTATAGTTAGTAAAAGTAGGCCCATTTAAATCAGTGGAACTAACAGAGGAGTTGACTCATCAAGTTCTAATGATTCAATGGGCCTACTCTACTGGGATTTACTACACTAAGCAACAGAATTTTGGCCAGTATCTCAAATCCTAAAGCATGCATTGGCTATATTAATCTACAAGAGATAGTTTACTGCACCATGACCAAGCAAATAATTGTTTATAATAGGCTTAGGGTTGAAGTGGTTTTTCAAATGACGGAGTCTTAATGATGTCCATACACATCATTAGATGAGATTATGTGGCTTGCAAGAGCTATCAGACTGGAGATACCAGAAAAGGCAACAAATAAAATAGGTTGGAACCATTATACATGCCCTCCTAGTGAAAGCTGCCTTTTAGAGGAAGAAGAGATTTCTGAACTAGCAGAGATTTTTTTTCTAGGTGAATAGTGGAAAAAGTCATTTTTGCAAAATGTCATTCTAGTCACTCTGAGGTGGTAGAAAATCTGTTCCAGAAAGTAGGGGAATCTTCTGGAACCAGGAAGGGGGTGTTGCAGAAAGGACTAGAAAACATCACTCTCCTTCCTACAAAGAGTAATATTGACAGGAACTGCTCCAGGATGCTTCAACCAGCAAATAAAATTGGGGCAAGGGTGGGGATTTGCATCTACATTAGCTGCCAAAATCTCCTGAGCAATGATCTAATAGAAAATTAATGTACCTAGTACCCTAGTTTTAAAGGCAGTTTAGAGGCCTCACTGTACCTAGACAATGTTGAAGCATGTGTGGCTATGTATATTTTTTGCATAGCAAGTAATAATCCAGGGCAAATAATAAGCCACTTCTCGAGATCTACACCAGAATTCCAAAAAAGAAAATCAAGGGAGTTCAGCAAAGGATACAGTTCTGTGCTTTCTATGCTCTATCCAGTGCACGCCTAGAATACAGTAAACATCCCCTGACTTAATGACTCAGGTAGCATATAAAACAGAACAAAGTTTCTTGAACACCACATAAGCAATGCTGTGCTGGCTAACCATCAAAACACTTTGCTTCGGCTACAGCTGTATCTCTTCCACCCTGTGAAGGACAGAAGAGCAGTGTGCCGTCCTCTGCCTCACAACACCCGGTGGAAGAGAGTGGATGTGTGGAGGGAATACTCATAGAGATAGAACAGGAAAAGGTTAAACCCACAACAGAGTCAGAGGTGTGTCTAGTCAGTGGATGAGGAAGGGGAGGAGTTAGATCTAATATTATGGGTGGATATAAAAGAGGGGGAAAGCGCACGGATATTCAATTTGACAACTGACGGAGCATTGTTGGGAAGAAAGAGTCGTGGGGTGCAAACCGAGCCCATGCGTGACTTAGAGGACTC